CTAACAACTCTGTAACATCTTATTACAATTTACTATTTAGCCTCTTTATTTTACCACTAGACATTATCTGTCAGCCCTCACATTCAGTGCCCCCTTTGTTAATGTGTGTTTGTATGTATTTTGTGGTTATCGCATTTCTCTCACCCCAATGACACTTGTATTCTATTGACTATAAAACAGCACTATATCACCCAAATGTTCATTCACACTTCATCACATTTTTCCTGACTATATACCCTATACACATTTGATTGATTATGTTAACTAATGGACTATCATCTCAACTTACACATGCACCCCAATACAGTTTCTGATATTATTTTCATTTGTCTTTATTGGCTATATGTACTCTATTATTCATGGATTTATAACTGTAGAGCCTGAAGAAGTTATCGAAAACAATTGTTCGCTCAAAATCTTGTTTTGAAAATTTTTAATTTTAATTTTGTTACTTTAACTGTAGTGAGACTTGACAGTGTCATTTTATACTCATTAATTAGTTTTTGTCGTCGTCCATACACTACCCAAGTCATTATTTTTTCATCACTTTGAATCATCAAATCATGTTCTCACGCCATTATTGCAAAAGGTTTGGAATGAATGAACGAAATGTACCTGTTGCTTGGAAGAAAGGCTGGATACCTCGTCAAGCTGCCGAAGAAGGGCAACCTAGTTAGGCCTCTGCAAAAACTGGTGTGGAATAATGCTCTTGCCCACTCACGCCAAGTAAAATACTAAGTGGTAACATACTGGAGAGAATAAAAAAGATGCACTGGATACAGAACTCCGCCAACCACAGGAACAAGCTGGATTTAGGAAAGGCGAATCATGTGTTGATCAAATTGCGACTCTACGCATCATCGTCATCGAACAAAGCATAGAATGGCAGTCAAATCTCCCTCTACCTCAACTTCCTTCATCGACTTCGAAAAGGCCTTCAACAGACAGCGTCAAAGTTGACTGAGAAGTAATTTGGAAACTACTTCAACGCCACGGTGTGCAGTGTCCAAGTCTCTATCAACCTCATTCAACAGCTGGCTATATGACAATGTCACATGTCAGTCAGGTGATCCACAACGGAAAACTCACTCAGTGAGGCCTGTGTTCGAAGTGAATACAGGAGTAAGACAAGGCTGGCTGTTGGCTGTCTATTATCACCAACGATGATATTCTTAATTGTGGTGGACTGGAATATGTATGCATCAGACTGAGGGTTGGGAGTGAGAAGATAGGAATACACTGTATCACAGATAAGATCTGGATTTCGCGCATGGATGATTTATGTCTAATATCACACAGACTTGAAGGCTTTCAGGCGAAAACCAACAAACTGGCTGAAGAGCTGCAGGCAGTGAAGACAGGTGTCCAGGTGAACATAGAGAATACGGAGGTGATGAGGATAACCAACCAACACACAACAGCGACAACAACAACCAGCACCAATCGCCATCAACGGGAGAGATTTTTCAGGGGTTACATCCTTTACTTATCTAGGAAGCATTGTTCCAACTACATGCGTAACGGATGAGGATTTGAAAACTAGAATCGAAAGGGCAAGACAGACCTGCATCAACCTGAAACCAATTTGGAGATCTTCTGCCCTCCTCAGCATTAAGAACAAGATTCGGATTTATGAGACTAGTGTCAAGTCAGTCGCTTTTTCTATATGGATCAGAAACTTGCACTGCGTGTCACAAAAAGCATTTTGAACAGGCTACTGCAGACTTTTATCAACATTTGCCTTCGCTCTATATGGAAGACCATATGGCCAACCGGCCAGAAAGAATTAGCGACAAGAAACTCTGGGAACCAACCAACCAAGAACTTATTGTTTAACAAATATATAGAAGAAAGTGGCTATGGATTGGATAATCTCTGAGGAGACCTCTGAGTGTCATCGTGCTCCAGACCATTACTCGATTGAAACCAGAATGGGAAACGACGATTAGGGTGTGCGAAGGGGACGTGGAAGAAATCGTGTGAATAGGAGATGAGGGACTATAGGCCATCCTGGGGCCAGATAAAGGTGACCGCAGGGAATAGAACAAAGTGGAGACGTTACGTTGAAGCCCTATGTTCTACTGTGAACCCGCAACTAAACCAACCAGCTCAGAGAACACTATTAATTGCAAATCATCCACCTGAGCTACAAATCTTCTCTATTAACCCAAGGGAATAATAATATAAGAACATACTGGAGACCATAGTAATAAGTCTCTACAACTCCTGTTTGGGAAATGACCATTTGTTTTATGACATACCTATTCACTTAAATTGGCTGGTTTGGATTTTTCCAGTTTGTGAGAAAAATATATTAATGGGCTCATTCCAATGTTTACATTGTTATCTAGTTGAAGAGTTTTATGACTTCCACTTACTTACATTGGTCAATAGTATACCTTGTTCAAAATAATAGACATTTAAAATGGATGAGCAAAAAGCATTAATACAAATAGGTTGTTATCTCAAACTCCCACTTTCTATGGCATATTATCCGAATGCTCATATGTGTTCTTGAGACATGTTGTACAGATATGAGCATGGTAATTATTTCGTGTCGACAAAAATCAAATCAAATGGAATAGCTAAACAGCAAAATTTCAACCCTTCATCTTTCACTAAACTGAGAAAGAAACTCAATTAATGTTAGATGCTTAGAGGCAATCGGTAAGAGGCTCTAAACTTTGGTTTCGCGCTTATTGTCAATTTTTAGCAAGGAATATCTACAACACTGAAAGGTTTTGTATTCTAGGGCTGCTGTCAGAGACGTTACTACTGAGCTATTTCGGCCTATTAAGGAGTAGACACAACACAGGTTACTACAAACATTTTATATAAACCGAAACGGATATTGTCCTTAGTAGTAGTCAAAATAGAGATAATGACGATATACTTAGTAATAGGCGAAAACTAGGCATAACAGATGAAAAGATATTTAATCTCGCCTGTTTATGTTGCTGTGATATTGACTTGATTGAAAGCATGTTATCTAACTGTATAAAAAAACTATCCTAAGTGTTTTACGTCAGATGATATTAGTGAAAGGTCTTCAGTTCAATAGGAGCCGCTTTAAAAACGCATTAGATGTGGGATGATGTCTTAAAGGAACTGGTCTAATTATTTACTTGTGACCGAAAACAGATGAATTAGTTCAGCAGCTCCAAAATTTTACCTTTTTCTTTTAATATATTATTTGAGCTGTCTGTACAGGAATTAAGGAAGCACTTAGTTTCGCTGTGGTTAAATTTTGCTTATCCACTACACCAAGTACTAATTAAATTAATACAAAGTAAGTCCAACTTAAATTCATCCATGTTTTTGATAATGAACGCAAATATACTTACGGTAGCAACTACTTCGAAGACCGGAAGAAGTGATACCAATCAAATTTCTGAGTACATTTTAAGTGTGAATCTAAAGGGAATCAAAAACTTGACCAATGCAGTTGCTGGACACTTCGAGAACAAATGATACCTTGCTGAAGATACACAAAGAATGTCGAGGCTACCAGGAAGCGATGGCCCCAGGATGTTTATGACCCCATCTACACATACTAAGAAGGAATGTGACCAGTCTCTTACAGTTTCGGAAGTTCTTTTTTAACTTGCTGTGGGTCAGTCAAATTCACAAAAGGCTTCTGAACACTTAGTTCAGCGTTTCGTTCATGCATATTCAGCAATCTTAGCACGTATAATTAGTGGAATGTGAATCCGTAGAGTAGTTCGACCTATTCTTGCATATTACTCAGAACGAAAAATCACAAATTGGATAACTTGACTATACAAATGAACTTTGTTGGAGTTACAAATGCATTTTTGTTAATCGAACAAGCTCATGTTTGGTACCTTGGTTCTCGAGGGCAATTACAATGAAAGACATATATATATATATATAAATGTACGGCTCGTTTAATTAAGTCACTGAGAAGAAAGGATCGCGTTATACATGTAGGTTTTCATACGTCTAACCTCCTCTCGTTTATATTTCAAAAATAATGGGAGTGGTAAAATGTAACCCCTGACCAAGTAAAGAACTATTACACCTTACTGACTTTTAACTCGGGTATGTGGATGACATTTTCACACAACACTGACTGCATATCTAGGGCATATTAGGTGCAGATTACTAATACTGAACTTCATAGAAAATAGACACAGCGGTCTCCATTCATAGATATGAATTACCAAATATTAATACTACTCATTAAGACTTTCAGTGCAGGTTCCAAGCAACTACACTAGAATTCATTTGAAAACTACTACAAATGAACCAGCAAGCGAATAAATTTCTAAGAATACCTGAAACAGAAAGGGTATTAGTGTTGCGTGACAGCAGAGCCCAGGAGACAACTGTTCAATGTCGGTCATCCACGGCCTTTGAACTGGTTTTGGAGTTGCATCCGCCAGCTACGTACCGCTGCAAGGTAATTCAAGAAGTATAACCTTTGGAGCCAGACTTTTCTAATCCCCACGGAGGCAGCATAGCTGATCACCTGAGGTAATCGGCTTGCTGAAGTTAAATCCCTTTTCCCGAAGAGCATGATTTCGCACACTCACCCCGAACACAATGTGACTTACACTATGACGGCAACTACTTTTAGTCTAACAGGTATTCAAATGAGGTTTCTAGCATAGAACGACCAGCAAGAACACCATTTCCAGCCAGTAAAGCTTGTTGGGTCATTGTGATATACGAGTCCGATCACCACATCAAGGAAAGTTATCAGTCGGGAGTGAATTGTTGCATTGCATTTTTTATGGCACCTCCAAGTTAGAGACAGACGGCATAAGCGCATGAAGTGAACTTATAATCTCTTTGCAGTATTAGGAAGAAGACCGTCACAGTAGTAATAATACAGCCATTACAGTTAATTTTGTGAAATTCGTCTTGAAATTTTAGCTGAAAACCACCAGTTGTTTGCATCTACTAAATCGGAAACAAGCTACGATTACCCTTATCTATGAGCTTCAGTTATTAAGTGTTTTAGAACTTGAGTGCAATAAATCCAAAAGCATTTATTTACAAAAATCAAACCAACAAGGAAAATAACTAGAAACAGACAGAAGAAAGGCATTACAGGTAGTTCGTTTTGGCCATCACGTGCAGAGGAATACTACAGCCAGTTTTATTCACGGCCTACAAAATAAATTCAAATAATTAAAACATGCAAATTACACAAAAGTAACTTGAAGATTAAAGAAAACTGGCGTAAAAACTGTTTGAGTGCATTCTGTTTTGAGATTACCATGGACATTACAGACAAAATTATCAAATATTTTGAGAAGTTAAAAGAAGCAGTACACAGTGATTATCTAACTGTAAACGTAACTAGTGTAAGAATACAGTGAATGCAATAAACAGAATATGCTAATTCAATTATACTGACATTCCACATATTGAGAAAAGACTCCATTCGAATCCATTGATCATAAGTCAAGTGCTACAAGCAATGTTAGACCATAGACAATATTATAAGTCCTCACCATAGTCCAAAGTAACACGCAATAGTTATATGTGCTGCACGAATAAGCAGCGGGAAGGTTTGTTGATTTGATATACAGCAAAAAAAGTGTTAATTATAAGTATCAAGAGAAATGCAACCTTCTGCTCAAACGATTAAGGAGGCATCTATCATCAACGAGGTGACGTCTGAGAAACGTTATCACTAGGTTGACTATACATTAGGTATTACAAATAGCCTCAAATGTGACAAAAAGTTGCAATGAAAGCTCCACAACAGGCGCATTACTAAGTGGTGCCATTTTATTTGGAAAACTCAGAGCATGATATTTCCCGTAAAGCGTAACATATCAACATTAATTTGTATTTTTATCAAAGCAAAGCACAGCGAAGTTTAACTGCAGCAGAAGCACATGATCAGTTTACCAGTTGTCACAGACAAGTATTACAAGATACCACTTTCACTTACTTCAAGATTCACCAAATTGTTCGGCCTCCTATGATCGAAGTATACCTAAATGAAAATGGGAATTATTGTGATAATACATACAGTGAGATATCATCACGCACAAGACTAGGAGCAGGAGACGTATAATCTTCAAGTGAAAGCGGTAAAGCTGGTAGAGCGATTTGGCACTCAGCACTTATCATATCATTCTCATTTCTAAAGAGATATATCAATATACGACTAATTGTAGCACTACATGTCTTTTTGTACACTTTCTGAATTACTAAGAGGAGTAACTTCACATACTATTGAGCACGGTCTCGTAATCACCGAAGCGTATTCAACAGGAAGGGAACTCAGTGGTTCTACTTTCACACAGCATGATAACAGTGACGCAAATTCCGCATCAGATGTCATCGGTGAAACTACAATACATATTATTGTCAAAAAGCAGTTACCTGAAACAAGTGAAGTGCAAAATTTCTCCTTTATGGGTGAATTTCTGAAGTACGGAAACCGACTACAAAGTCTTGACAGTGAGGCAGACCTTCCCGCCCGAGCAATAATAAATCTGACCATAATAGGCGGGAAGGCATAAATCCCGCCTGCATGAAGGACAGATATTCATCCAATATACAATATTATTTTTACGAGGTAGTGTAAACCAAATCGATTTCTTCGAGCTCGTTGCTTTATTATAATGTGAAGATGCCTTATATCCAATAAACTTCTCCATAGTGTGTCCCACAATTCAACTGCAGTAGTTGTGGTTGACCCCGGAGGGAGTGGTGCAGAGATTGGTATGTTGTGACCGTGCCACAAGTGTGAATCGAGTTATTCATTTCACTAATAAGTGGTCCGGTGTGTTCGAATGAGGAGATAGTGATAATTATTGTAAATTATGTAAGCATAAGGAAAACGAACAAGAAAATTGATAGATGATAAAATTCAACAATTAAAAAAGTAAATGAATGAACAAGTGAAGAGATCAGAAGTGCGAGAAAATGGAGCGGTTTTAAAACAGGGGCTTAGATGATGAGCATTAATACTACGTGGTATGTGAGTTTCAAGTGGACGATACAGGCGAATGTAGTCCTTGCGCTGGTGATTTTCTAACCTACATTTAAAGCATTACACCGAATGTGCAGTTGCTACATGTTAGATGTCCAGGGGTGGTCACTTCAGGGTAACGTCATATAATTGTTTTGAAGTCTTAGAACAATCTCATGAGTGAGGGTGTCTGTCTGTATATGAAGGGAATAACTACACATGCCCTTACCACCTCATATGGGCAGTTACCCTTTTATCCAGTTTTTATAATTAGAACGGGACATGAGACGCGCTGTGGCGTTACACAGGACAAGTTGTCGTCACAAAGGTGTAACTTTCTGCGTCGTTTTGGTACGTAATTCTGCCGCTTTGAATCTTTCTAGACTGAACGACATACCACTGATCTGTGCTTAGTCTTTCAGAGCTTTCAGGTCCACCTTAAACCTTTTGAACACTCTTTGTCTTGCATATCTTTACGCCATTGGCGGGACAATACAGACTGCATGTCAGTTTCCTGATGAACATCAAAACATGAAGGGCCCGGAGGACAGTACCATCTGAACCTGCAGATGTCCGTCTGTACCAGGACGGTTGGACAAAATTAACTTTGGGACATAATTCCCTACCGCCTATATAGTCCTTCAGCCATGAGAGTGGCCGGCTCCCCTTTCTGCCTGATTTGTCAGGGTGAACATTGTGCTGAACATTTTCAAATGCCATCGCAAAGTCGAGGAAGATCATGTGGAATGGAACATTTATATCCTAGCAGGATGTCCAACTACTCCATACTTATAAAAGATCTGTCGCACAGCATCTACTTCTCCAGAAACCTTGTTGTGCTTCACGAAGTGTGTTGCTCCTGTCGAAGTATTGTCTAATTTGGTCGTCAATCAGGCTTCCAGTACTCTCACTACCACGAAGAATGCTACCAGTCTGCGGCATATTGTATTTTTCTGCTCCCCACCCTTGGAGATAGGAAAAAGGTTGCGTGTTCAAATCAAGTCGTGCTCGCCATTTAGGAACCTACTTTTTGATCAAAAGGATTGTTCGTATCACCGCCCGACGACCTGCAATATTGTAGAAGACCAGTGGTGTTTACAAATGTTTATATCTGAAAGGGTGGAGATAAGCGCTGTCACGTTTTAAATTTACCTCGCTTCTGGTTTTCTCGTCTTTCATTGGCTAGAACAGTGGCGGTCAATTAGGTTTTTGATTTGTCATAGGTAGGTGCTGTCATGCGCGGTTTGCAAGCAACTGTGATGAATACAAATGTTCTAACGTGTTTCACTTTTTTATACAGATACAATGCTCTCTTCGTTGTACACTCTCTTAAGACTGGTAAGCCATTATGGTGGTTATCAGCGACTGCGACCTCGTGAGTCCCAATACATTTCTTAAGTTGTTGTTATACGTACAATATTTTCTACTTCGACATTTCTCACTCACATAGTCTGGTATTCTGTGTTTCTTGAAAATTAATTGTGACAAGCCGTGGCAATTATGTGCTTCATTAACGATGCCTTTTTCTAGAGTTTCATCGCACGTAATCAGTGCGAGCGGAAGCAGCACATACGTAAGAAGCTGCGAACGCATTGGAAGACTTTCAAAAAGTTATCACCTTATAAACTGCTAATAGTGACGACCTTTTTCACATACCAGTATGTGGCTACATTCACATGCAAAGGAAAATAGGCAAATGAGACATTGATATGTTTGTCTAATCGCACTCAACAATACAACGGCACGCAAGACAAAAAGAAGACTTAGATTAAGTATAGTAGTGAGACAGCTTTGTGGAACTTTCGTCTAGCCTGTATGTTTCGCTCTAAATTTTTGTCCCTCAGATCACTAACTAAGTGTTGTTAAATGTATTCTTGCAGCATGATTCAATGGCAAAATTAGTGTCAGTTAATAATATAATTTATGTGTGATATTCATGATATTTTCTGCACCATTAACGTGCTCCATATTTCAAAAGAAATGTAAACTAGGATGACTGAATTTATTGAATACTTAAATCATATCTGGTCATGCATGTCAATTATGTAAATGCTTGATTTATGTAACTGCATTTAATCTGTATCACTTTTAGGGGTGACGAGTCGTAATGAGGCCTGTCAGTGGGTTAAATTCAGTGGAAGCAGAAGTAGTCGCATTCGGACAAAGACATCCGAAAAAAAACACTCAAGAGTGTTTTATGACTTATGACCAGGTACATTTGCATAATCAGTATTAGGAATTGATTCTACATAGAACAACAAGTGCAGGTAATTACACTCGTTCACTTATAACTATGCAGATAATCTTTTTTCCATTTTGTGATACTGGATAACTTTGGATGTGAGGGTACAATTCTGTTTACCTGAACTGCGGAAGAATTTAAACGAGACACAATAAGAACACTAGGCAGTTTCCGTCGAACAATGAGAGATCCTTCCCAAACGAAGACTTCCATCTTGAACTGTGCTCAGCATATACATGTAAATAAATACAGTGTGATTCAGTGGTACAATTACTAGCAGTTAATGATATTGAATATGGCTGATTCTCGTGATATTCTCCTTATTATCAGTGTGTTCCACATTTCAAAAGAGGTGGAAATTATGATCACTGAGTTTACTGAATACTAAAGTCATTTATGGTCATGAGAGTAAATCATGCATGTACTCAATTTATGCCAATGAACGCAATATGAATCACTTAAAAGATGTCAAGAGTTAAAGAGGTCTCTCAATCAGTTAAATTTAATTGGAAAGATGGCGTGCACGTTTAATGCAATATGAAGTTTGCATGAGACAAACAGTTGGGTTGATGGAGCAGTAGCAATTGTAGCACTGTTTCAGTTACATTGAATTATGCCACTAATTACTTCCTCCGGTCTCACTGATAGGTCAAGCCTCCATCTCGTCATGATGACGAATTTAGTTTCACTCAGATGGAATTAGAGAAGTGTGGTAAGTATGATGTTAAATATATTTGATGAAAAATAACCACAAGCAAATGTCTGTACAAAATTGTTTGTCGTAATTAATTCGGCCATGTTGTGCTGCTGTAACCAGGTTGACTGACGTTACCGGACTTCTGCAAATAAGTGAATAAAGTGTATTTTTGAATCCGTTGTAGTTAGAAAAAAGTAATATGAGAGTTAAACACTTTATATTTGCCTACCTTTTCTGACGAAGGTTCATTCTCCCCTGTCATTCAATGGTCGTGACAGCATTCTTCTGTGGTTCTCACACTATTCCCTTTGTCAAGTGTAGCACCGAGCAAACGACAAATTCATGTTTTGGCGTCAGTCTGAACTTTGAAAGATGGCTTACACATCTAAAAGATAGTAATTATGGAAACTAGAGAAACACTTGTTTCTATCTGTTCGGATTATTTCCTTCGACGAATTTTCTTATCGACAATTTGCAGTATTACTATTGATTTGATGAGAAGCTTGACATCATGTTTACTCTCATCAACTATCCGTTGACTGGTAATAGCATGCAGTCACCGCATATACCTAAACATTTAACCTGAACATCACAAAGTCTCTCTAGATAAGCTGTTTAATAATAAATGGTTAAAAAATATGAGTCACAGGTGAAACTTCCATATCCTTCATAGCCATAGGTAATTCCTGAAGGAGCTCAGAACACCTTAGGGATCTGGGAACGGATGATTATTAGGACTGGTATAACTTACGTAACAGGTGTGCTGGTGATAGGATGCAGCTGCAAGCTACTTTTCGACAGAAAGGTAATACTAACCACAGACACTGTTACGTTTCAGAAGGACCATCCATAATATTCTCCTTGTTCCAGTGCACACTGATATCAAGGTAGGCTGATCCCATTTGATGCAGTAAACAGTTACGGTCTTCCAAAATTACATGTGACAATGTAAATTCAACTGGTAACACATCTTCGGCTGAGCATATGGAAATATATCATTATTACTATCTTCAACCACCTTTCCAAGTTTTCTGCCTTTAAACTCCACAATAATTTGGTTAAGCGTAACTACTTTCGGAAAAATCATCTCAGTAACCTTACTTTTCAAAGGTATCGCAACACATTTATTCCTATCGATCAAGGAACATACTAACCTCACAGGCATAGATAAGTATTATTTGAATAAAATAAATTGGGTGTACGGTGAATTTATATGGTTTCTCTTCCTGTTGACTTTAGCTTATGGGAGCAATCTGTTAACTAGTCGGTCAATGTAGCACATTAGGAACGTAGAAATATTTTCTTTACGTCAGCAAAACAACTTAGGTATATGTCGGATGGATCGCAAATACCTTGGTAAAAGTAAAGCTTGAAGTCGATCCTCTTACATAACTTTGCTGTGTATGGCATCAGATCTTATTCTTGATTCATGATCAGATGGTCTGTCAAGTTACAATCAGCAATATATTCATCTCATTTTCTCACAAGTATCACCGTAGGGTAGCATCCATAGTGATTTATATTTCATGCAGATGAATGTTGACCATAGTCAGACAGGTCTCTTTTGTTGGACCAGAAGGAGGATTTTTCTCCGAAAGTTGACAACTGACACCATTTTTCATCATAGTATTCTG